GCCCGTGTTTTTCGTGGACTTGTAATCTGGCTGTCTTGGCTTTGGCTTTGGTATCAGATGAGCTATACTCGGGTAGATGGCCGTGCATGTAGCGTTCAAAGGTGTGTATGTCTCATACCTCGGGGTAAGGCCTGTCTTGACATGTGATTGGCCCACTGCATTAACTGCCTGGGGACGGGCGTTATTGTGACGATATCCTGAGTTATCCCGATAATGCCCCTTATTCTTTTTATTAAAATGAGATTGGTGAGGATGGAAATCTTTCCTTTTGCCCTGGGATTGATATGTCTGCTGACTTGGCGAAGCATTAAATGAGGTCGGGGGGTGTGCTGTTACCGTTTGGAAGGTTGAGGTCTTTTCATTCGGTTGGATCTGGCCTCCACTCCCTACTTGCTGATAAGGGGTGACTGTAGGGGGTTTCCCTTGATATGTCCTTGCCTCGGCAGATGCATGGTTGTAAGCTTGTGCCATCACCTCAGAGTAAGTCTTCCAAGTGTTGGCATTGATCATGTACTTGAAGAAACAGTCACGTAAGCCTGCCGTGAAGGCCTTGAGGGCGGTCTTGTCATCTGCCTCAGCGCAGCGGGAATACTCATGGTTGAAGCGGCCAGCATACTTTCGTAATGACTCGTCCGGCTTCTGGCGAATAGTGTACAAGTCATCTGCGGAATGCAAGCGATCGGTCTGGAATATGTGTTGAGAGACAAACAACTTCCTCAACTCTTCAAATGAGTCTACCGTCTCGGGTGGAAGACGGCAATACCAGTTTAAAGCTCCGCCAGAGAGGGTGGAGAGGAAGAGAAGGCATCGTTCTTCATCGGTGTGTCTCCGGTATACCATGGTGGACTCAAAGAGGTTAAGGTGTTCAATCGGGTCTTCCCTTCCAGTATAGAGTTGTAAGTCAAGCTTCTGCTTTGTCTTCGCTCGGAGGGGGGTGTTGAGGATCCTTCTTGTGAGGGGGCCAGGCCTGGGTTGGTTCCAGTCAGGTATCTCGGCTTGACGTTCAGCCTTCAACTTGTTTACTTCCTCCAGGAGCTGTAGGACGAGGGGGTCTTGAGTGGAGTTGTGCATAACTGAAGTTTTCTTCCGTAAGTCCCCATCGCCTCTTGGAAGTAGGAAAGTTTGATCAAGATAGCATGATTTTTCCTTGGACTCGTCACACTGACTCCTAGAGTGAGTATGTCGGAACATTTCCGAGTCCTCTGTACCTTCATGTTCTTCTAGGACTTGTTGCCCATTCCCTAGATTAACTGTTGGCCTGGGTCGTGGGAGAGGACCGAGTCTTTCAGAAACTCTTGGGTCATTGATCTTCGAGCTTATGTGGATGGGATTCTCTCGACGTTGCTTTAGGGAGTCTCGACAATCGCGATAGACGGCTTTTGATCATTCCACTCCTTCTGTGAGGAGGTGCTTTCCTCTACTCCTTCTGCTTCGGGTTGAAGCAGCTGGGTTGATAGAAGTCTCATGTTGATTATCACATTGATGTGTAGCTCGATCCCTATCAGGGATGTCCGTGTTGGATATCGGTGACCCTCCGTGTTGGGGGGCATTCAGATGATTGTTGACCTCAGCAGGGGCGACGAGCTTGTGTGCTTGAGCATGCCTAGCCTCGTGAAGCATCTCGAAAAGTTTTTCATACTGCTCCTGGAGAACCTCGTTCCTCATCACTATCTTGTTGTTCTGAGCTTCTAACTCATCGACTTTAGCTTGAAGAGTAACTCTATTTCCTTCCTGCTTTCGTTGCTTCATACTAGGTCCAATGGGGGTGTCATTCTGTGTGCTATGGCTTCTTTCGCTCCCCATATTGGAGAGAGATGTTTGGCCAAAAGAAAGTGTACGAGCGGTGGAAACCAGCTTAACAAAGCTGAAGAGAGTGGGAGTAAGTGTCTTTCCCACAGACGGCGCCAAATGTTGATGCATAAAATCAGCGAGGACTTTGGTACAATAGAAAGTGTCAGGTTTGTAACCTTCGCTTGGTTGCTTCGATCACTAGTGAAGATAAGTACGTAAATGAATAGGGACAGGGAAGCAAACACAAGATGTACGTGGTTCACCCAGATCGGCTACGTCCACAGAGTAGAGGAGTTCTCATTAATTGTGAAGGGTTTACACAAATACATAGGTTCAAGCTCTCATTTTGTGAGTTCTAGTGAATAGTTTAGTACAAAATGACATTAGAGATTATTGTGGGAGAATGATCCCTATTTATAGAAGAGAGTTTCTAGTTTTGTTCTAACATTGACACTTGTCGTGTTGTGATTGGCTTCTAATGTTGACACGTGTCGAGCTATGATTGGCTTCTGATGTCGACACGTGTCGCATTATGATTGGCCTCCTGGTTGAAGGGAAGCTCTTCTGGGTCTTTGACGGTATAACGTTGACCGGTGCTCAGTAGTTTCGGAATTGGTCAAGTATGGTACAAACAATATATATATATATATATATATAAATTATGTATATGCTTATATTCTGATTCTGGAAAAAATTATACATGTTTTACGGCGAGGGGTTAGATATGTTGATAAAGAAAATGATTTTGCAAAACGTTTGTTTTTGCCCACTTACGTTTTCTGTTTTGCGCCCCTCCAGATTTTAAGTAAACTTGTTGTTGGTGGCTTGAGGACGTCGGCCGTTCTGACCTACCTAAATAATAGTAGGACATTTCTGGTATCGTATAACTAGTACTTGTCCTACTGGACTGCATCTAGACTTAATATGCTCTGATTAAGAATATTTACGTTTGTAACTAACTCCTATCACTTCCTGTTTAATAGTGCACTTTAGTAATTTAGTTTTTGATTATTCGTATATTTCTTTTCATTATTGCTTCCGCACTGTGTACATGGTTACGTCACTCTCACGTGACGGCCAGCATGCCTTGATCTCGGTCGGGGTGTGTCAGTTGCTTTGTTGTAGATGGGTTTTTGTTTAAATGTAAAACAAATTATAAATTGTTGGTTCTGAAATCTCAAGAATTTTACAATTTCTAATATGGTAGATGGCACCGATGGCAATTGCCAGAAGAAGAAAGGAGGTTGGATTAAATACGATATTTGAGTAGCACCAACATACTTTGAACATGGGGAAGATGAAATGTTTAACAAAGAATAATATTAATATTTGGTTGAAATTGAAGTTGAAGCAAATAAAATATTTTGTAATACATCGTGAGTTTTTTTTTAATTATCCTACTTCTTAGTTAGAAACTGCATTAAACGCTTCATTAACTGTGACGTGGCGGTCATGTGGACAATGACTGGGCGCTACGTGGGTCACCATGTGGATTTTTTTTTTAAAGAAGGGGTTTTCACATTTTTTTTTAGGGGTTCAAAAAACTTTCCCGCAAAAAATTTTGAATTTTTTTTTTCTTCTTCTTCTTCTTCTGGGCAGAATCAATTTTTTTTTCATCTTCTTCCTCCTCCTCCTCCTTCTTCTTCTTCTTCTTCTGGGCAGATTCTTTTTTTTTTTTTCTTCTTCTTCTTCTTCTTCTTCCTCCTCCTCCTCCTCCTTCTTCTTCTTCTGGGCAGATTCTTTTTTTTTTTCTTCTTCCTCCTCCTCCTCCTTCTTCTTCTTCTTCTGGGCAGATTCGTGTTTTATTTTCTTTCTTCTTCCTCCTCCTCGTTCTTCTTCATTCTTCTTCCTCTGGGCAGATTCGTTTTTTTTTTCTTCTTCCTCCTCCTCCTTCTTCTTCTTCTGGGCAGATTCTTTTTTTTGTTCTTCTTCCTGCTCCTCCTCCTCCTTCTTCTTCCTTCTTCTTCTTCTTCCTTCTTCTGGGCAAATTCGTTTTTTTTTTCTTCTTCTTCTTCCTCCTTCTTTTGGGCAGATTCTTTTTTTGTTTTTTTTTCTTTTTCTTCCTCCTCCTCCTCCTCCTCCTCCTCCTCCTTCTCCTTCCTCTTCTTCTTCTTCTTATGGGCAGATTCGTTTTTTTTTTTTTCTTCTTCTAGGTTTTTTTTTTTGTTTTTCCTTCTTCTTCTTCTTCCTGAACGTGGAGTCGAAGATGGTGATGGGAGGGTGGGCACGGGTGGGATTGAAGATGAAGGTTTTGTTTGTTTTTTTTTTAATAAATAAATATATTTTTAATTTTATTTTATTTTTTTAATTTTCACGTGGTGCCCAGTCATTGTCCACATGGACGCCACGTCACAGTTAACGGGAGACTTAACAATTTGACTAACAGATGTATGAGACTGTCCCAAAATTTACACTTTAGGTATGACTCTGAGACGAAAAAAATTTGATGTACTAAATGTTTAAAACCACGAAACATGAAGGTAGTAAATAGTCTTTTGCCCTTATTTTTAAAAGGAAAACTAATGAAAAGGGCTTGAAAACTTTGAGTTTTAATGATAATGACAAAATAAAAGGTAAAATGAATAGTACAAGAATTGACTTTTTAGTATAAAAATATAATTTTTCGTTAAAATAAACGGTACCCTAAACTTTTAGTTAAAACTCCTATTTTTAAATGGGCACCACGGCAACCATCAGGCTCGGCGCCAGATTAAACGTAAAGGAATATATAAATGTGGCCAGGTCATGCCCTTTGGCTTTTTCTTTCCTTTCTGCTTCCGCTTTCCCCGCCAATGCATTTATGCTTATATGCCCACCTACAACAATAAATGAATATTATATTTCGAGTTTAAATTTCCATTCCTTAATCCAATTAATTTCTTTTTTGTATAGATAAACCTTAAATTTTCATTCCTCATTCCAGTTAATTTCATTTTTTTTTCTTGAGAAAGACTTAATTTCTATTTTTACATAAACTTTTAAACATTAACGTTTAATTTTAATTCCTTAATCCAATTAATTTTTTTATGTAGAAAACCTTTAATTTTTCATTCCTTAATACAATTAATTTCTTGTTTTACTTCAATTTTTTTAATATTTTATTTTAATTGAAATGAGAATTATTATTTTTTAATTTAGTCATAAAATATATCTGTTCCAAGTCAAGAGTCTTGTTGAAGGTTCACTTGGCCAAAGGGAAGGCGCCAAACTCCAAACTCACTTCCAAAAGTCATACTTTTCAAATTTTCAAAATTCTAAGAAAATGCATAATGTTCCAACCTGATAATAACCACTTATAAGTGAAATTTCTATAACCTCCCTCCAGATTCGAAGGAAGTAGAAAATCGTAACTTGTTGTCTCCTTTTTTTTTTTCTTCATAAAACAAAAAATCCCACAAGATTATTAGTCGCTACCTTCACACCTGCAGTAAAACCAACGAGGAACAAAGTCAGAAAAATAAATTAACCAATAAATAATCAAATAATTCAAAAGAATATACCTTGAACGAAACCAAACGCGACCTGGTAAACCAATACGACGCACCGAACGAACCGAACGCACGTAACGGACAACGCCGACAACGAAGACCACGCACTGAACGGAACGCACGGACCAGTGACACAAGGAGACGGCACACATAACGGAACACCCCAAATGCTGCAAACACAAATGGATTGAACTCAACTGCTGTGCCACTAATGAATTGAAGTGCTAATTAATTGGTCCTTAATCAGATTTTAATTGGGGATTAGATTAGATTGTCCGACAACTGTCCTTCCAATTATCCATAGCACATGATTATCATTCAACTGTACAAATATGCAGTTCTAACTGTAAAACTCGCCGGCTTGAGTCAGCGCCTCCGCTTCATAACTCGTCCAAGTTGGTTGAATCGACTCAGCTGTGCCATCGATCTGGTCGGATCGGATCAAAAGCGGCTGCGATGTGCGGCTCCGAGTTCCGTCTAGCCGGGTTCAAAGATCGGAAAAAGAGAGAAATTACCGGAAAATAACCAACCAACCTGTGTCCGTTCTGTCACTCTGTAACCCAAAATTCGTTGTCACTCTGTAAACCAAAATTCGTTGTGAATCCCGCCGCCGCTAGTAGTCGGCTGTGGACATGGCAGAGAGTCTGCTGGGCCGTGGCTGGAACCCGGCTCTCCGCCTCTGCTGGTGCGCACAAGGGCGAATCAGGGCGGTCAAGGCTCGCTTCACCCACTCGCCTTCGACTCCACTGATTCGTACCAGCGAGTTCGTCATAGCAGACCTGCGCATATTCAACCTATTCGACGGGAAGATCCGGTGTTTTGACTCCCTCCCTGGTTTTTGTGGAGGCTGCAGCGAAATGATCCCGGATGCGACGTCGGCGAGCACATACAGGTCTTCTTCGGCATCGAAATCGGTCCAGTTTTCTTGGAGACGGCGATGGATCGATTCGAATGGTGGTTGGGAGAGATCGAACGGTGGTCGATGGAGAACCGGACGTACCGAGACGGAGAGGAGGAGGTGTAAAGGTTGACACGCGTCGGAGAAGCGGATCTGTGATGGTGGTGGTGGTGGTTGATCTGCTGATTGTAGTAGTGGTGGTCCTGGTGGAAGAAAGCTGACGCCGGCGACGAGAAGCTTGAGCTCGTCGAAGAAGCGAAACCTGACGCCGATGACGAGATCCCGCCATTGGAAGCGGTGTAGAACCTTTCGGAAGGCGAGAGCGACCGGAGCACAGGGCCGCTTTTGTAGGCCCGGGTTCTCGCCCTCGATGAGGAAGATGCGGTCGCCATTGGAAAGTGCAGAGAGAGAAAGCAAGTGAGAGAGAGAGAGGGTTTTTTTTTTCCTTAAAGGCCCCTAGGGCGTTGGATTTGGCAAACCTATCGAGTCTCAAGGGCCGGTTTTATAGGTTCAGGGATGGGAGGGCGGGTGGTAATTGAGAGGATATCTGGGGGTATTATTGGGAATCATAGTTTCGGGGATTGGTGGTTTTTCTGACGTTGGGAATCTTATCCAACGGCTGGAGTGATGGGGACTGGCCGATGAGGACGAAGTCGGAGCTGCTTGTCCAACAGCATTTATTGGGGCCGCTGTAGAGCCTGCCACCTATAAATTCTTTGGAAAACGCTCAAGTTTGAAAGTACGGGAAGCCCGGTAATCGTCTTTTTATTACGGCTTGCCATTGGTTCGTTGGGCGTGTAATACCTTAACGGACCCCAGACTTTTGGTCTTTATTCTCCTAGGTCCCTAGGATTATTGCTTTTTTTTTTTATATATATTTTTTTATATTTTATATTTTAGTACATTGATATGTTTTTACACTAAAAGAAATAAAAGTTCGGTTAAGTTATATATGGGCAACCTAATTAGGTATCAAATTCGTTATCTACGATATTCAAACTTAAGATATCTTACTTCCAAATGAAAATGAATACCATTAAACTTAATGTAAGTGTCATAATACTTGGAATTTAAACTTGAGAATCGGAGCTCCCAAATTCCAAGATTTTTTCCACTCTGAAATTCTAAATTCTAAATTCCTCTTTACTTGTAAGTGAAAGATCTTATGTTCGATTCTTGCCAAAGGTGAATTTGAACCACATTATTGCTAGCTCATTGTGAAGTTAAACTACCTCTTCCCCTTAATTTAAATAACATCGTTCGTTAAAAAAAAATAGCAAAGGAATTGGTGCATGTCAATTTAAAACTTTTTTACTTTTATGAAAATTCTAAGTTTATTTTAATCATCCAAACATAATGTAAATGTCATAATCAGTGCCGGTCCAAAGATTTTTGATGCCCGGGGCGACGTAAAAAAAAGTGCCCTAACTTCATGTAAGAAAATTATTTATTTTCACACATAAGACATCGAAAAAATTATACTTAGAAAAACACTTCAAACTCAATAATTTAGAAACACAGAAAGACTAATTTATTTTGTATTGAGAGAGGGAAACAAAAAAACTTCGGGCTTATAAGTAGATAGATGATGAGTTTTGTTTTCCATCTGAACTTTGAATATGTTTTTGAATAAATCGTGAGATGTTTTGCTCTTATTTAATAACCTTGTCAATATGAGACTAAACAATAATGATGTTTTCGAGTCTTTAATTGATATGTCTTATTAATGAATGGGTACTAAATTAAACATTTTGATGACACGTCATATAATTTGCAAATTTGGTCTACGTATTATTCTTTGTTGAAGATTAGACTTGAATTAAAACGAATATTTAAAAATAACAACCCACATAGCTACTAGATAGTAACTAAAAATAAATTAACAACCAAACAAAAATTTGTAAAAATTGAAAAAAATAAACATGCACATAGCATTTCGAACGTAAGACCTCTTGTTAATTTTAAACAACAAAAATCATTGAAAAATGGAAAGTAAATAAACACACATGGTGTTTTAAACCCAAGACCTCCTGATTATTTTCAAATGACAAACCATCGCTTCTAGTTCAATTTCTGTGTATGTGAACCAAACTTTATAAGTTTATACTCTTATAAAAACATATATAAATATACCACTTTAATAATTTTGATACCCCTAATTTTTTTAGGCCCTGAACGATCGTCCTGCCTGCACTGGGCCTGGCCCGACCCTGGTCATAATACAAGTAAATAGACAATTAAAAACCTCCCTAAAAAATGGTAACTACAAATGGGGCAGGGTGGTTCGGGATAATAATGATGGAGTTGGTCCTTTTAGGTTGAAATTCATTTTATTAGGTGAGTGGGCACTTGGTTGGTCAAAATAGTGAAATTCTTCATCCATTATTTTGTTTTTCTTATCTTTGTCTAGCAAAAATGCAAATCTTCAGAATCACTCAAAGAATCGAGAAAGAAAAAAAAACAAAAAAACAAAGTTATGAATCCTATATATGTTTCGGTGAACCAAAACGTGGGTTGGAGAGAATTTAGATGCAATTGGGTGTACATATTTTTATGCCTTTTTACATTGAAGTGACATATTAAGCCAAAAATAAGAATTAAAATATTGATATCGGTAGATATACTTGTACTTCATATTCATATATATATCAGTGACATCGATGGATATATGGACAAGGATTGTCTGTCCTTCTATTTTTGGTGCCCTCCCATGCCCTTCTGTTTGTGTGGTCACGGTTAAGCCACGTCAACATTTTATATTATTATTCATTTTTGTCTTATTATCTCTATAAAAAAATAATATAAAACGTTAACGTGGCTTAACCGTGACCACACAAAACAGGAGGGCATGGAAGGGCACAAAAAATAAGAGAGTAGACAATCCTTGTCCTGGATATATTGGTAAAAAATTAAAACCAAATAAAATATGTATAAAACTTCTACAAACTCTAAAACCAACCAGTAGTGCGCCCTTTAACACATAAAATAATAGGAATTAAATTGTTTTTCATTGAGATTCATGTGGGTTAGTAGCCCCTTGTATGAAATCAATACTCTGATTCTACAACACTTTGATAAACAACTTCAAGAAATTGATTCTAACTCATCTTAATTCATTTTGATCATTTAAATCATTTATGTTTCGACTCATCAATACCACACTCTATGTATTGACCCACACATTAGTTTTGTTCTTTCATCTAACTTCGTTAAAGTTTTTGTTAAATTGTTGATATGGCATTCACGTAGGGCCATATGCTAATGATAGAATGCCACATGGATAGAAAATAAAAATCTCCTTTTTAATTTAAAATTATAAAAGCTAAATTGAAAAAAAAAAGGTCAACTCTCTAAGGTTGCACAATTGTCAATTAAAATCATTGATCACAAAACATACGGAATAGGCATTAGCAGTTGAATAACAAGGAAAGGTAGCACTCTAAAGTGATAAGGTTTGGTGATGATGATTCTGAGTTAACTGCCTCGCTCATATCCAAAACCCTAGCTAAGCCTTGGGGACCTTGTTTTTCAGCTAACTATTCGGAAAATTACTTGAAATGTCATATGAACTTATTCACATTTTTTAAATTGTTATATGAATTAAAATTTTAAACGATTTATCATATTAACTTTCTAAAATTATTAATTTATTATCTCACCCTAACACCATTAAGTTTTTCATACAAAATAAGTTGTGTGCCTCATGTGGATGCAAATTTCTTCCTCCTTGATCTTGGACAAAATTGCACCTACAAAACAATTAACACCTTAGGGTCAAGGCCAAGAGCCTCACGCGCCCACGATGAATGGGGGGGCTTTGGCCGAAGAACCTCAAATGCCAAAGTTAGAATTTAGAGAGAAAGTGTTTGGAGAGTATTGGGAATTTTGCAAGTGTTGGAATTCTCTTTTGGAGAAAATGTGAGGTTTTTTTGTAGGAGAATGGGAATAATTGACTAATTAATTTAGCAAAATAGAATTATTGCCAAATTAACTAGCTAATTAAGGTGATGAAATGGGTAAATATGAGGAGATCAACAAGGCATGGCCGGTTCCTTTTTTAGCAATAGGTGGCCGGCCCTTTAGTACGTATTTGGATATATTTTGTGGTTAATTGGGTGACTTAATTGGTATTTAATGGATTAATTAGGTAATTAATCCGTTAATTAGCCAATTAACATATTTTTGGAATGAATATTTTGGAGGTTATGATAGCTAATTGATTAGCTAAAAGAGGAAAAAATTAGGCAAAATATATGGAATGAAATAGGTTTTAGGAATTACCTTGTAGAAGGATTTGATGAGATAAAATTTTGAATTGTTACCTTTTTCGGACACTTTTGATTTGGGTGAAGGATGATTGCCAACTGCTTGCGTGTAGGAATCTCGTTGTACCTCAAGGGTATTTTTGTCATCTTTTGTCCAAAAATCCACGTGTCGCCTTGTGATTATTTTTGGCTCCACAAATGCCCCCACACCTGTTGAGCTACTAGTAGGAAAGGGTAGCAGGTATAGAGATCATCTTGCTTTAGGAAACGTAGGACTGCTTCCTATTTTGATGTAGATTCTCTCTTTAATAGGAAATTAGGTCCTTCTAGGAAAGGAAAATAAATTTCTCTCAAAGCCTATTTAAGTCCACCTTAAGTGGGTTATTAAATCAACTTTGGAGAGCAATTTATTCTACCCTACAAGAGAGAGAGAGGGCTTAGAGGATATTTGTTCCCCCTCTTCTAGCAATCTTCTAGATCTTACCCGTACAAATGATTGTCTTTCGTTGATTTCTTCGTCTTCTCCGTGCCGCATCGATGTAAGAAAAATTTAATTTTTTCTTGTCTGCTTATTGGATAGTGCTATTGCGGGGCAGCCGTCGGGATGGTGCGGCACGTCGGCTGGCAGGGGCCAGGAGTCGGCTCGGCATGGGCCGAGAAGGCGTCGTGGTAGGGGCCACTCCTTAGGCTGTTTGGCTTGGCTAAAGCCAAGGGCAGCTTGTGCGCCCGGGGCCACGAATTGTGGCACTAGGGCGCAGTGTTAGGCGAGCCACATGGCTCATGTCTTTTGGGTTCTTGGACCTTACTTGGGCCAGGCTGGCGACTGAAAGAAATAAAGAGATCGTGGGCCTCATGGGTTGCTAGAATGTTAGGCAGCAGGCCTCCTGCCTGCTAGAATGCTAGGTTGAGCTCATTTGCTGAGTATCGTGAATGGTGTTGACTGCTTAGTTTTTTTGCCGTGAAAAAGGTGGGCTGCTCCCGAAAGAGGAGGTAAAGATGATCAAGGTGGATGCATTGGCTCGTCTAATCGCTGTTGTGGAGTCTATTATGAATGAATATGGAAATAAGAGATCTTCCCCGCCTGTTCAAGAGATGCCAGTCGAGAAAAATTGAAGACTTTCTCCGCTGCTCATGAGGGTCTGCCTGCTGCTGAGATGTTTGTGATTGACATAACTTCTTCCAATGGGAAGAAAAAAATGAGGCTGCTAAATTTGAGCCTGT